GTGCACATCTTCATATCCCTGGTTTTATGACAGGCACCAAGGATTTACCTCAATGCCATGAAAAAATAATAGTGAACAAGTCTGAACAGCTATCCTCTTATCCAGCTTTCCTGGACGTTAAGGCCTAAACCATATCTTCTTTTTATTGCCTGAATTTGATTTTGACACATCCTTCACGAGTGGTGGAATCACACATATGACAACCTGGAAATGACTTAGAGAAGGTTTCTTTCTATTTTTCTGCCTGGTTTAAACCTTGTTTTGATCATTCTAACTCTGTAGTCTCAGAGATGACCATAAAATCCTTTAAGGCTGACCTAGAATTAGCTTTCATTCATAGTGTTGTCTGATTCCAAATTAGGATCTTTTGGAGTGGTAAGCAAGTACTGCGAGCCCTTTGCCAAAAAGTTGCAATTTCCATCCCTAAGGAAATGTCATGCCCCATCAGACCTCATCACATGCATAATCCTGACTGCTATTCTCAGTTCACAGTGGGTCAGCCTCCTTTCTGAGAGGCAATGCCCAGTTTAGGGAAAGGAGGGGGAATATCTGTCTGTTGGCTCAATTTTCTCTCAGAGGCCAGATGACACAGTGCAGGTGAGGTGAACCAAGATACATGAAAAATTAATCTATCCAGTGATTTCTCAAGTTATAATGTAGCTCCAAAATTTTCAACATCATATTGCAACAAAATCTAGCTACGCAGAAGTCCTTAAAAATAAATTCCACAGCTGTAAGTGATGGCTCAAAGAAATATTTCTGTTTCAAAATAAAATACGACCAAAGTAAAATATGCCATGTTATCTATGGTTAGGTATCATGAGGAAAGAAAACTCTGCTAGAGGAAATCGAACATAAACTAGTACTTATGAAAACTTATAAAAACCTTAGGTGAGATTTGAGCCATCTGGGAGCCTGATTTCGTCCTTTAAGTCTAGCAGGAAGTTGATTGCAGTGAGTTCAGCTCTCTTATTTTAGAGAACTGAATGCTGCTGCTCCAGCTTCAAAATACCAGAAAATATTAGTGATAAATAAATTATTATTATGATAAATATTACAGAACATGAAAATGCATTCCTTTTCTTGTTTTTCTCTCTCTTTTTTCTTAATTTTCCAGCACATCTGTAGCCATTTTGTGAGCATACTGAAAATTCATAATTATTATGCAAACAAAGGTCACTGCGAAGGTCTATTCATCAAACATGTTATGTTTACAAAGCCACATGAGATTGTTTTTCAAGCCCTGGGCCCTATGCCAAAGATGGGTCGATGGTTGGACTAGATGATCTTGGTTGTCTTTTCCAACCTTTATGATTCTATGATTCTATGTGAAATGATTACAGTGGGAAAACTTCCTTCATCACCAAGAAGTCTTTGATCAACATAGTGATGCATTTTTTGTTCAAGGCACTCTTCTGATTGAAAGCATTGTGAACATTTGGGGACAATTCAAATGCTGGAAACATTTAATTTAAAGTGAATACATCCATTCATTTGCAAAATACTTGTGAATGAAAAATTGATGTTAGGTAAAGGATAAACCCAGAGCTATCAGAAAATCTGGAGCCATAGGATTTCTGAAGTTAAAATTATAATAATTAAAAAAGATGTGGTTTTTACAGTCTCACCTTGCTATTCTTTCCTTATAATGGCCTGAAAAAAATGCTATAGATTTTACTCTGCTTTGCAATCAGAATCCTTTCATTGTGAGGGAGCAGCGGTTGGAGACTCTCCCAGTTGCCAATTCTCATTACATTGCATGGATCTCATCATGCTTGACAGCTTTCATAAAGCCGAGGCTCCAGGAGACTGAAAAATCTCCCGAGAACCTCAGCTTTTGATTACAAGGAAAAAAGGAATATCTTAGTCCTCGTGATTGGGGAAGCAAGATAAAAAAACGTATCTTCGCAGTTCTCCCAACATGCTGAAAGCTTATTAACCCGAAGGCAAAATAATCATCTCTCAGAACCCACAATGAAAAAAAAGTGTCTTTTTTCTAGGCAGGAAGAAGAAAAAGTCAGAGAGGAGTCTGACATCATTTTAAAACCTGGTAAAAGCACTGCTGAAATTCAAGCCATGAACGTGAACTGCTCTGCTGAAAACAGAAGAATGAGCCCTTTCTTGGCAGAAGTCACAGAATTTTGAAAGAGGGGCATAGTAAAGAACAGGGCTTTTTAAGAAATCATATCACAGGGACAATAGCAAATTAATCTGTCAGACAGTGTGCAAATAATAGTGAGATACCGCCTGGAATTGCCTGTCTACAAATTAACAAAATAGCCCCTTTTTATTTACAATTCAGCCACCCTGCCTGTTGAATTGAAAATGCACAAAGCTGCCACATCAAATGATCCGATGGCAGGCGGCTCTCCCAGCCCATCATAGGTTGCTTTGCATAGTCATCCTACTGCCGACCAACGAATAAGCAGCTGCTACATTTTTTATGTCTTCACACCCCTTTTGGTGTTGGCCCTGTGGAATCGTTGCACTGCACACTGCATTCTCAGTGTGTTCGATATGATGTGTGCACTGGCGCATAGCTCTGTATTAATGGAATTGTTTCCTTCAGCAGCTGTATGCAGCAGCCGTATGTGATACAATACACAATGGGAACTGCTCGTTTCTACACTGTTTCTAGGGAAGTAAAGGGTTACTAGGGGGAAGTGTGTTTTATCACACATTCAGCACTGCACAAAAATAGTCTAGAAGACCAAAATGCTTGCGTTAAAGTCTCGACATTTCTTTAATTAATTTTAGTACCACAGGGATCTATTTTGGATACTGTTAGTATCTGCTGTCTGTGCAATGTATGCAGAGTTAATAGTATCTTTGGAGGTTCAGGAAACAGAAAATGCTCCTCAGCTGCAGGGCAAAGAGCAGCCTGGTGCTGGGGGCGGGGAGCACATCAGCCTGGGACTCGCAGGGCTGGAGAATGAGACTGCAAGGCTGCTGAGATCAGAAAGCAGACACGCTTTTCTCTTTCAAATGACTCCTTTTCATGACCAACCTACTTGCACAGAACCTGGAGAGCATTGGCCATCTCCTCTGAAGCTATGAGAAGAGCTGAACAAGGCTAAGGAACATGGCTTAGTAATTAGCAGTATTGGTGGTATGGTTAGACTAGATGGTCTTGGAGGATTTTTCCAACCTTGTTGATTCTACGATTCTGATTGCTCCAGCCACCCCTGAATTTGACCACATAGTGGCTGGTGGTACCCTTTGGCCACCCCTGTCATTTTAATATTCACACCTGAAGATCTCCCACCTTGTTATCCAACCACACCAATCTACAGCACACACTTTCATTCACTCACCCAGAGCTATGCGCATCTACTGCTTTTCCTCTTTTGGAAATGAGCTGCTTTGGTTTCCTTTGCATAGGTGAATCCGCAGTGAGTGAGTGCTTGCCGCTATTGAGCACGTACAGCCTGTGCCGTATGCTTCTGAGGTTAGTCATGCTATTTCCTGTGCTACCTGATTACCATCAGTAGCTGCATGTTGACCGTTTAATTGACTTTTCAGAAACTCAACTTAGAAGTTTCCTGTGCCTTTCCCACTGTACACAGGGAATAAAAGCTTAATACATTTACCATCACAAGAAATGGTTTGCTTTTTTTCCTCAGCTCATCCGCTTGAACGACTGTGAGCTCCCTACGCCACCAGGTCTTCAAAATCTTCCCATGGACTGCATGAAAACTTCTCAGGCCTGAATCTCAGCTTACCACCAAACACACGGTTCTGAAAGTTCTCTGTCGTTGGGGCTGGGACTGCACATACACAGGACTCCAGGGCTGCTCCCTCCACCATACACCATTCCTCACTCAAGGACAAAGCTGGTTGCTCTGCTTAGATCCCCACATTTATGCCACCTCCTTAAACCTACCATCAGCAGCCTTAGCGAACCCAAACTTAATTCAGTGTTGCTTTATAGGAAACGGTTGAAACAAACTCAGGCTGAGCCTGAGGAGACAACCAAGGCACTCCAGAATCGTGCTCACCACACTGCTGCAGGCCTGACATCTTTGTCCTTTATGGGCTGTATCATGACTACTCTCACTAACCTCTCTGTGAGAGTGTGAGAGATTTTACCCACTGTTATTTGAGGTAAAAACAAACAAAAATTATCCCAGGACTGAATGAACCATCATAAACCAGCGATATGTAGGGCTGCTAGTCACAGATGGAATGTATCATAATCTGATTTTAAGTTACTTTTGCACGCAAATGATTTTCAATTAATTAGGAGGAAGCTGTAATTTTATATTCTTCTGTTTCAATTCTTAGGATCAAATAGTCATTAAGAGAACATAGAAGAGCTTAAAGCACCATCAACATCTTAGTAAAATGATTTTAGTTGGCATAGGACACCACCCACTACAACAGCTTTAGAATATTAAATAGCTAACAGTCTTGGAATGAAAATTTATTAGATACTGTTAAGCAGAATGAGTCCTATTTATTAAACCTGCTATCAATTCATACAACTGAGATTGAATCTGTGCAGCAATACAGAAAGGTTCTTACCAACAGTGCTACGCTATGGGTGGGGCAAGGCAAAAAAAAAAAAAAAATTAACCAAATTTTTTGCTTTTCAACAAATCTCTACATAAATATTAAAGTCGTATTTAAAGTGATGTACTCACATGATAACCAATTTTAAGACATGCAGTGTTTAAATGTGATGCTCTAAGAGCGAGCTTCAAGGGACGCAAACACATCTATTGCTGAGAGCACGTCTCAAAACCTGAGAATGGCGATGGAGGTTTGGATCATCTCCAGAGGCTTCCTAGCATCCTCAGCACTGGCTCTTACGCTTCACATTCCTTTGATATGCTTCTCCAGACAGAGGACAGAAATACCATCCAGGTTTTAAAACATTTTATTTGCATATTAAAAAAATTGTGCATTCCAATAATTAAAATCATTTGAACAAAAAAAAAAAAAAAAAAAAAAAAAAAAAAAATGGCACTCGATTAACTGCATTTTACAGCTCGCAGGACCTTGGTACAGCTTTGCATTTATTCGTGTGTTACTCTAGTTACTGTAGTCCCACCCAAGTTCTTCTTCCATCAACATGCAAGCTCTTTCATGCCACCAGGACCAAAGCCAGACAGGCAGAGGGAAAGGCAGCGCCTTCATTCATTGTCAGTAGTTCTCTCTATTCTTTTGATGTGAAAGGGGCAGTACAGTCATTTTTAAACTTTATCCAACCTCTTTGCATTTTACAAAGTTAAACAGCTAAAAGAAGTAAAATAAGAAGGCAATGCTTGTGGAATGTACAGTGCATAATTTGGAAGGGCAGATTTCATTACGATTCACCCGCTTGCTTCTCCTGTTCAATCGCTAAAAAGGGAAAAAAAAAAAAAAAGAAACAACATTTTTTTTTAAAAAAGGAGAAATAAGGATCAAAAAGCCTCAAACGCGCATCCAAAGCACTACGTGTATGAATTGTAAGCACGGATGTGCCACAAAGGAGGCACCGAGCGTTGTGTGCCGGCTGCGGGCTGCAGCCCCGCCACCCCCTGGCCCCGCCGCCCCTCTTTGTCTCCTCCCGCCTCGTCCCCTCCCGCCCATCGCCCTCCCTCCCCCCCCACCCCCTCCCGTCCCCTACACTCACTTTCTTTTGAAGGCAGCGGGTTTTTCTCTTGCGTCTCTGTCTTCTTCAGTTTGGACTTGTCAAATTTCTCGATCTCGGCCATGTCGGGCTTGTCGGACATGTTGGCAGGTGGCTCTGAGCGCACAACGGGAGGGAACAGCCCGTTATCCCAGGCACAGCTCCCGGCCGCCCCCCCCCCCACGGCCCCCGGCCCCCCCCCCCCCCCGCACACCCCCACACCCCCCGGCAGCAGAGCGGCCGCGCCCGCCGCATCGAGGCGGCAGCGACGCCGCACGGCGGCTCCGACTGCAGCGGGGCTCCGCCTCGGGAGCCGAAAACTCCACGCACGCCGAAATCACGGCGGGTAATTAAATATGTATACATACATGTATATACATATATACACACATACACATATAATTATTTATTTTTAAGGGAAAAAGCCGAAATTTCATCCAGCATCTGAGCCCACAACCCGGTGGCAGCCCTCAATATGTGCACTCACAATAGAGGGGCAGCGCCCGCATTTTCACCCCGATGAAAAAAAAAAAAAAAAAAAGAAAAAAAGAAAAAAAGAAAAAGAAAAATATTTCAAACCGAAGCGCCCGGCCGGCAACAAAGCCGCCCTCCCGCTCCCGGCCGGCCGCCGCCCCACAGCTCTCAGACAATAGCCCCCTCACCCCCCCCCCAGACAAAAACCCCCCCCCCCCCCCCCTCGGCCAACATGCCCCCACCCTGGCCCTGCCCTGCCCTCATCCCCCCTGCCTCGGGGGGCACCGGGCGGACCCGCGCTGGGGCCGGCGGACCCACCGGTGTCGCCGCGCGGTGATGCTCAGCCCTGCCGCTCGCTGCTGCCGCCGCTCCGCACACCAATGTACAGAGGGCTCGCTGGCGGGGCGGTTTTATCCCCGCGCCTATGCAAATCGCACGGTGATGTCACACTTCTTCTTTTTTTTTTTTTTTTTTTTTTTTTTTGCCGCTTTCCCCCCCTTTTTTGGTTTCTTTTTTTTTTTTTTTTTTTTTAACTCCTTCCCCACTCACCCACTTCCTCCTTCCCCCCCTTCGCCGCCCAACCCTCCCTCTCCCCGCTCACACAGCTACAGGCACACACACACACATACGCACACGCACACCCCAAAACCGCCCTGGCCCGATGGAGGCGCCCCGGGGGGCTGTCGCGGCTCCCGGCCTCCTCCCCCCACCGACACAGGGACCCGGAGCGGGACGCGCCTGGGGCGGGGACGTGCAGCTCCCGGGCAGGGACAGGGTATGGGGCAGGGGCAAAGCGGGCAGCGGCCGTGCTGTAGGTTTTGCGGTGCTTTTGCCCCTTTCCTTCCCGTTGAGCAATGTCAGCCGGCCGGTTGCGTTACGCGGATTTCCTCATTTCGAAGGAAAACAAGAAACCCTCCGGGCTTTAAGAGCTGCGGGTACTTCCCCCTCTCTCTCCCCGACCTCCTTTGCAACCGCGCCACAAGGGAAAGAATAAAGCCCATCGCTGCCCTTGCAGCCCTGCCGCAAAGGAGAGCCGTGCTCTCCGCGCCAGCCCCGCAGACAATGGACCCGGCCGCTGCGTGGCCGCTCCCGGGCTGCTGCCAGGGCACCGCGCCGTGAACGCGGGTCCAGTCCCTCCCTGCGCCGCAGCATCCGCTTTCCTCATCGGCACGCCGGCAGCGGGTCCCCAGCATCCTTAAGAGCAGCATCGTGGGGCGATTGGTGATGGGTGGGGTGAACAGGAGACGCTGCGTTTTGTGTTTACGGCGCCGGGCAATAAACGGAGATATTCGTACGTAGAGTGTGCAGGGATGACGACGAGAAGGGAAGCTCCGCGCCTTTGTCTGGCAGCAACGCGGAGGAGTTGGGGGGGGGGGGAGAGGCGTGCATGCAGTGCTGCTGCTGTGGGACATGTGCATAGGGCTGTGTGTGCCCTTCTGCAGCACATCGGGTACGGCGTGGTTGGTGCTGAATTGGAAGCGAACAGGATTAATGCATGCAAGCAGAGCTGTAAATACATTTCAGTACATTCCTTGGGGATGCTGCTGCCCTCGAGGCCTGCCTCTCTGCCTTGGCCAGCCGTTTTTCACAGCACCGCCAGATATTCTGTCATGGAGTAATATCTTATCCCCATGGTCATCCCAATAGGGCTTTGCAATAGCAGACTGGGTTTTCCGGTTTGCAGAATCACAGAACTGTAGGGAATGGAAGTGACCTGTGGAGATCTATCTAGTCCCACCCCCTACTATAGCAGATTTCCCACAGTAGATTGTATGGGGAAGTGTTCCGTCAGGTCTTAAGTATGTCCAGGGAAGAAGATTCACTGTAGTTCAGCCAAAAGCTGAGCTCCTTCACTTTTGGTGGTGCAGGGAGTAACGTCTGCCTTATTTCCCTTGTCCGTGAGTGCCTCCAAAAGTGAGATGGACAGAAACTATTGCTGGGAGATGTGGTATGAACTGGAGGTACTCTGATGAGCCAGGAATGGTGCAGGACTGAAGGTCACAGGAATTGCTTTGGGAAGAAATGGCAAGGAGCAGAGCTTATCATTTGGCAGTATTTATAGATTTCCATAATAACAGCATAAAAGCATTCCAGAAGGATGTGCCATGTTCAAAGCAGGCTGACTTTGCTAGCTTTCGAGTGAGTTCTTCAAAATGACTTCATGGCCTTTTGCTTCTTTGACACTTTTGAGTGCTGAACCTTGTGACTGACGATTGTGCAATCTCTCTAATTATCACTTCATCAGCATCCCCTGTCATGTTACAGCTTCAGTTTTCAGTTTTGCCAAAGATTTTTTTTTTTTAACCTTCTAAGTGATGGTAAATTTATTAGAAATATTCTTTAGGGGATTTCTCCTCTGTGGCTACTGCAGTCACTCATGCATGTGTTTGGTCAAAGCAACATTGCCCCAACCTGAGTGTGGTAACGCACTTCTGAAACTGAAGAACAGTGCATGCTGATGGGGCTGGGTCTGATTTTTCAATAGCAGCTTGTCTAGCAGCAGCACTGCCTTCCTTCACTTCTGCTCATTTCGGGACAGAGCCACAGGTCGCCTAAATCAGTGCAATCCACATGCTTAAATGGAGCTTTGCTGATGTGTGTAAAGCAGGCCCCGCTGCTGAGTTTAGATTCAATTACAGTCCTGAGAGACAGAGACAGATAAAAGCTTTACACTTCTACAGCTTCTCTGCCTTCCTGTATCTCCCTTTCAGTGAATTGGTATTGACATAGCCCCAGCCCCTTAGAAAAAACATGTGCATCTTACTGTGTGTGTGAGTAAAAGGAAGGTACGTTCCAATGGCAGGATGCAGGCTGATTTCTGTACAAGTCGATCTTGACAATAGCATCTTGTCTTAGTGACATAATTACAGAAATGGCATATCTGTATGTCCTTGTGTGCCCCTTCTTTTTGTCACTATATGGACAGCATGGGGGAGACCGATGTCCATGCAAGACTGCCCTGTGCCAAACTGCGTCTGGGGATAACAAACTCAATGGATGCTAGGGTGTGGCAAAGCTGCCATCCTTAATAAATTCCCTAGGTCATATCATCTAAAGGACAGTTAGCTTATCTTTGACCTTTGAGGTTCCTTCCCACCCAAACCATTCTGTGATTCTTAGGAGCTCTTATTACGGATATTGATGAGCTTCTGCATTTCTTAATCATTTACTTGTTTGTTTGTTTGGTGTCAGCAGCCAACAAATATTCGGTGATGTAATGCCCTTCCAGGCATGCAGTTTCCCATGTATTTGCATGCGAAAGGAGAGCACTTCTCAACACAGAGCTCATCTCATTTGCAACAGTTTTCAGCTAAAAACATGGAGGGCTTAAACTGCACCAAGGTAGCAAGTTCTGCCTTGCACTGTAGGGAAGTCTCAGAATGGGAAACTTAGTAAATGGAAACCTGTACTTCTTTTGTCTCCTTCGTATGGCCACGCTTGTAGCCTTGAGACAAAGCTCAACATGCCTTTTCCAGTAAGTATCCGTATTCTCATATGTGAGAGTGTGAGACTGAGGAAATAAAACAGTTCCTCAAGGGCATACAGCAGAGAGGCTTAATCAGATATTAATTGATGTTGGTAGGAGGGTTTGTATCTAAATTGCCTTTAGCTTGTGCTTGAACTCTGTCTGAAGAGTGTTTTGAAGCATGATTGGGAACTCAGATCTTCTGACCTCGTGCTAATTCTTCCATACAGTTATTGCGTTTATTAAAATACAATAAAATAAAGGAATCAAGGGGACACAAAATGTCTGCGATAAAGCACCCAAGATTAATTCCCATTTCTGCTTATTATTCATAATGGGATCCCTGGCACATCAAATGACTCTCAAGATAAAAATAAACTCTGTGTGTAAATTTCTCTATCATATGGAAAATAAATTTAGAGGAAGAGAAGCCAAGTGATTGTTTTCCAGGCCTCAGTTTCACATGTGAAATCATATTTTCACAGGGTTGACTTACTGAGGGAGAATGCATCCTCTGACTCCATATACCATTAGAGGAAACACGAGCTGGCAGAAATCCTCAGGGTGTAAGTGGGGAGAAGACAATCACATTTTGTCATTTCTGGCTGCAGTGCCTTGCTGCCAGCAGTATGTCCATGGTGACCTAGAGATTTGGGGTGCTCAGCTGGTCCAGTATCAGAGCACAGCGTTTGTTTTGGGTAACATTCAGTGAATGCTCTGGGCAAAAACCCATAAAAATAGGTAATTCACAGAGCAGTGTGTGTAAAGGGAGAGCCTTTCCATCTCCACAAAGCTTGATTCCAGCAGAGGAATTGCAACATTCCTGTTCTAGCTGGACAGATAGTGGCACTGATGTCTTTGCAAATAGTGACATTTCCTTTTGTCCCTATTTGACAAAGGGAATTTTGCAACAGGACAGGACTGTAAGCAAGTGGTGCTTGTGGGAGTGGAGAATGCAGCTTAGTAAACTCAGATAGCTGCTGCACAGGAAGCGCAGTACCCCAGAGCAGCAGATGCTCCTCTCCCACACCAATCTGCCTGACTCTGGTTTACTGCCTTCCCTACATCCGTGAGCAATAAGAGAAGAGTGCCGCGTCTTGCTCTGAACACACGCATAAAGCTGTAGCAAAGCTCCAGTCTTTGGGCTAGGTTACTTGGAACTTGGAGCAGAAGGCAGCATACAGCCTGCAACAAAGCCAGCAAGACCAGGAGGCCTTCAGCTGTGGTTTCCAGCTTTTGAGGGATGATAGGAATTTACTCTCATCATGTTTGGAAAATTTTAATTAACAGAGGGGAAAGCAGTCTGTTTTCAGCCTTCAGAAAGATTTCTTTGAGTCTGCAGGGAACCACCCAGCTCTTGGTTCTCTGTCTTATGTGTTTCACCATAGAATCATAGAGTCATGGAATCACAAGTTTGGAAAGGACCTACCAGATCATCTAGTCCAACCGTCCTCCCATTACCATTGCTACCATCGGGGCTAATTTGAGAAGGTTTGTGACTTACGAGTTTCCAAACTACCTTCTCTGTCTGGAGTGCTTTCCTACCAGATGTGCGTGCAAAAGCTGAGATTGAAAGCTAGCTCTAGAAAAAGTGGCTGATCCACAAAGTATCCGAGAGAATTGAAAACAATGTCCCAGCATATCTCCTGGCTGAAGGAGGCGTTTCCGTGCCAAATTTTCACAAGTGCATGTCATCACTTCCTGAATTTTGCAACTATTTTTCTTTCCTCTAATTCAGATGAGGAAAAATAATAGTTTTGAAAGCATGCAAGTAGCAGCGTTAGCATAATGCATCACAAACTTGGAATGCATCACTACTCCTAGAGTCACTTGGCCCTGTCCAACAACGCCTTTATCCTCCCAGTGTTAAGCTCCTCTGTAAGTCATGTGCATAGGTGTTGACAGAGAGGGCAAACAGAGCTCTCAGGCAAATGGGGAGATTGGATTGTTGTGTT